TTTTAACTTTACGTAGAATTTCTTAGATTCTGGCAGCAATATTTAATTTTTTTGTAGAATTTTGTAGAATTGTTTCCGGGAACAGGGAACAGTGTACAGATGTTGTCAGCGCGTCTAATTTTCGACTTTAAACAGCGCGCCGATTAGGATTGTCGAAATAGAAAACGTCCGGAGATTCGACAACTTTTTGTCCCGCGACCAATCGATATACTTAAAAAATGTACGGCAAATGTAATAATATCCTAAGTCGTGTACTCCTCCGCCGATTTGCGCAACCTTCACCTTTCGCCTGCAACTTTTCTATTTTTTTTTTTCGCCCGCGTCTACGCCGACGAATTAGTTATGCATGCGCGCGAGAAATGTAAATAATCGTAATAATCGCATTTGCGCTCTCTCGATAAATATTCATAAGTAACGCAAATAAAACTGCTGAACCGCCATAACCGCCTCTAGTCGCGCTTATAAATATTGATCCTCCCGTGGAACACGACCCGAATGAATCTGATTAATCCGTTCCTGGTCCGAAGGTCGACGGGAGAAACTTCACTTCGCGCGGTGCGCGCGCCCGCCCGCTTGATACCTTTTTTTGCGCGCGAAACGTTACGTCCTCGCCGCGGTGAAATCGCGGCGTTACGAAAGGGAAAAATCGGCCGCATTGCAACGCGAAGGCGCATCCGCAACGCGGTCGTCCCGCTCCACCGAGCGACGCTCGCGTTGTTGGCGACTTCCATTTCGGCCGAGGCGATCGCCGACGCGGGCACCGAGAAAAATTGAATTCCTGAAACTTTCCTTCTTAAGGGGATCCTAGTCATCTTTTTTACCGACACATTCGAATGTAGTTTTTACGCTTGTAAATCTTTTTATTGGCTTTTACGCATAAAGTAATACTAGGATAAGTTGCAGACCGCATAGCAGAACAGTTTTATACTTAAAACACTCAGTTCAGAAGTTTAATAGAAAAGATATCGGCATTCGAAATTTTCAAATTTTTATTTGCGAGCGATTTGAAATTGGTTTTATAAAATTGCAAAATTCCTTCACACGATTAAAGCACGCATAAAAACAAAGCCGGGGTTCACGACTTTATACAAAAAAAAAGAAGAGAAATTAAAGATATCACTTTATAAGTAATTGTGATTAGATTAGGTTAGGTGACAGCTTTACATGGTAATATTTAAATTTCTCTTCGTTTTTTATATAAAGTTGTGAACCCCCGGTTTTTGTGCGTTCTTGAATCGTGTGAATTTTGCAATTTTATAAAACCAATTTCAAATCGCTTGCAAATAAAAATTTGAAAATTTCGAATGCCGATATCTTTTCTAGTAAGTATAAAATCTAAGTATAAAACTGTTCTGCTATGCGGTCTGCAACTTATCCTAGTATTACTTTATACGTAAAAGCCAATAAACAGATTTACAAGCATAAAAACTATATTCGAACGTGTCGGCAAAAAAGATGACTTTAGGATCCTTTTAACTTCGTGTTTTTTGGAATATCTTCTCAAATTAGGAATATATTTTTAGTATTAAGAATCTCTCTCATATATTAAGAATATCCTGTTTAGAAGATTCCTCTCTTAAATTAAGGCAATCCTTTTAGCGCTTACTTTAGAGTAGAATATTATAAAAGTGAAATATTTTTAGGCTGAGAACGTCATGCTTTCGTTGAGAGGACAGTGATGTCGATCGAATCACGAAATACCCTCGTCCAGTTCGATAGATACACTGAGAACAACTTTCGGGCAAACCAATTAAGTGGTGTTTCCGACGGTTAATTTTTTTTCAATTGAATTATGGATACATCCGATGAGAAATTCGATGGAAAACCCGATCATATTTTCTTCATCGGACATGTCCGTTTGTTATATACGCAATTGGATCGTCCGATTGTATTTAATGGGACACTTTTCTCAGTGTACGGAAGAAGCAGCGCGACCAGTCCCCTCCGTTCAGCAACGTAAATCGCTCGCTGTTATTCTCCGCGCGTCGTCAACATGAATTTATTATGCTGCCAATCCGCGAGCGTATGACCACGCGACTATAACGTGCAAAGAGCGACCCAGTACCTTCGATTTTATTTTCGTCGGCCTCCTCCGCCCCTCGGTCGATCTAGAGCCGATCGTTTCGTGCCATCTCAAATTTTACGCCAGATAGATGTGACCGTGATCTAATCAGGAGACTTAAAAGAGATTTCGCTCGACAGAGACGGACGCTCGTCGCGCTTGCTCGCGGCTGGTGCGTCTGTCCGATTATATTAGCCTGGAGAATGATTATCGCGCCGACTGCTACGTCATTCGTGCGCGAATGACGCTCGATTTCGTAAAAAGAAACTCCCGGGGCACGGCCGGACACGTTTATCTTTCATAATTTATTCCTCCACGTCACGTGAAAACATTAATTCGGATTAATGCGCTAAAAGCGAGTCCGTAATATTTCACGGAGTGAAGACGAATGGAAAATATGTTTTTACATTGCACGAAAGGAAATGCGTTCCCGGGGAGTTCTTCACGTGAAATTGAGTGCCGTCCGTACACGAATGACGTGGCTGTCGATATGTTAAATAGGAGAAGGCCGCGGCTCCAACTTGTATTTTATAACTACGGTCTCTTTAACCGACTTGCGATCGATCTTTTATTAGTTCGTTTTGCGCCAAGTGAAAAACGACCGTGAATCGCGGCAGGAGTTTCGCTGAAAAGTATAGACGCGAAATGAGCGTATCTATATAATTCCTCGATTAGAATAATATTCGAGTAAGCGAGTGTAGAATCGAGCTTGTATCTTATCGTTTCTTCAATCGAACTTTCGCACGATCTTTCATTAGAGTCCGTTTTCGCCAAGTGAACACAGCTGTGAATTGGAGCAAGACTGTGTAGAAAAAAATTACGGATACAAATTCAATCTATGATTCGCCGACGTAGAATACTGTAGAAATAGGGCGACGTTAACATTCCAACTTACGAGGGCGGGTTGAAAAGCTTTGAGCCTCGCTCGACTGCGACTGTGCGTGCTTCGAAGGATACTTCTGAAAATTTCGGCCATTTTGGACTCTCGGTTGTTGCACGACGATCGTTCGTGTCAGTGGACGTTAGTATTTTCGTAAACATGGACAAAATCGAATGTCGGGCCAAAATCCACGAAGTGCAGTTCGAACTGATTGACCACCTCCCGCATTCACCAGATCTAGGCCTTAGTGACTTTTTTCTGTCTCCTAAACTCAAAGTTTGGCTCGGAGGACAGAAATTTTCGTCGAACGATGAGATCGTACATCGAAAAAATTATGTTCTTAAGAATATTTCACTTGTTTCACAATATATAAGAAAACATCTAAATGATACATTTTCCTATTGTACAGGGTGTCTCATTTTAAATGATTCACGTAAATATCTCCAAAAATATGAGAGATACAATTTTTTAAATGGGACCCCCTACTGTTTATTATACTATCTTAATCTACTAATTAATATGAGCAACTTTTGTCCGAAACATTTTTTGATTTGCCTAATACTTTTTGAGATGTCCGGGAGAAAATTTATAACTCTTTCACTGTTTAGCTTATGATATCGCGATAACTGTTTGTCGAAGGGAAAAGTAGTACAAGACTTTTTTACTCGATTTAGTCCCAGGAATATGCTGTTGCGACAGTGTTTCAATTATTGAAAATTTTTGTGTACTGTGACTCACACAAAATTTACATACACCTTGAGTTGGAGCAGGACTGTAGAAAAAATTCAATCTACAATTCGCCGATACCATAGAAATAGGGCGAAGTTAAGATACCAACTTACACTTTAACGACTCGCCTCCTTAGCTCGCGGTGGGTCTCGTTAGCGTCCGTTTTCGCGGGGCAAATCGACCGTGAACCGCGGTTGGCGATTTCAGAAAACCGCGAGAGATAACAGGCACAAATTGCACCCTGTAACTCGTCGATTGGAACAACGCGGGGATTAGGCGTTGGAAAGCGTTCCAGAATTTCTCCGACTTTCGCTCGCGGTCTTAACGCACGAGCTTTTACTATCGTTACCGCCGAGTAGCAACAGTAATCGCCGATCGCACGCGAGTGCTTGAGAGCTGCGAGATAAACGAGAGGAGAGGAATCGCTCGCGCTCTCGAGAGCGGGGCGGTTATTAGCAGTGCACGCGGGAATACGTCGCGTCCCGTCTTTCCGCAGCGTTTCCGCGGCGACACGCCGCGTCCACTTTTCCGATGGTCGACGTCGAGCGAGCGAAAGAGAGAGAGAGAGAGAGAAAGAGTATTATGCAACCTGCTCGATGCAAAGTGCTCCGAATGGGTTTAGGTCATCGGCGAGAGCGACGAGGCGGCTATTCCGCACCTGTGCCTCGCGCTCCGCCACGGTCGCGGGCACGGACGCGGCGCGGCGCGGCGCGGCGGCCGGTCACGTGTCGACGCGCGGCGTCGCTGCCTCGCCGCGCCGTGCAATTGCATCGCGAGACAATTAACGATGAGACAGACACCGGGGCACGTACGTACGTGCGTGACGTCAATCGTCGGAGATAACGGGCGCGGGCGCGAGCGGTAGTAATCGGTAGTGGTGGGCGTCGGGTGCACCGACGTAGGTTACGTGGGAGCAGCGGGTGGGCGGCGAGGGCGAGGGAGGGGGGGGTCGAGAGAGCGAGCGAAGAGAGGGATGGTTCGACTAAGAATGGCCGGGGCGACGGCGTACGAGGGGGCGGCGAGGGCCGAGGGCGCCGACACCGACACCGACACCGCCGCCGTCGTCGTCGTCGTCGTCGTCGTCGTCGACGGCGGCGGCGGCGGCGGCGGCGGCCGCTGAGCCGAGGCAGCACGGGGGGGTGGCAACATGGCCGCCGGTCAGTCGGTATCGAACCGCCGCGCCGAGCGGAGCTCCTACGCTGAGTCGCGCGCGCGTAGGCACGGCGACGGTTCCGCTCCGCTCCGCGCGCTCCGTTCCGCTACGCTCCGTCCGCGGCGGTGGTGCTGGGTGCTGGTGGTGGGCGGTGGTGAAGGACCCGGGACACACGCACCCCCCAGGGCACCCTCCGGATATCTGGCGGGCGCGCGCGCCACGACGTCCGGCGCCTCTCACCCCGATGGGTCCCCTGGAGTACCGTCTCCTCGTCGCCGCCGCCGTCGTCGTCGTCGTCGTCAATTCCGCTCGCCTCGCCCCGCGCGCCCACCGGGGGATCCTCGAGGCGGCCAGCCGGTAATTCCCCGAGCCAAGGTAGGTGAGCGACTCGCGGGAAGGGAGTCCACCCCTGACACGGCGCGAGGGGGAGGTCTGTCTCTCCCTCTCGTCCGAGCCGCGAGCGCGGGACTCCGCGCGTCCTGACGTCGGCGACCTCGTCCGTGGCGCGCGGGGGGGTGGGGGGTTTCCCTTATCGAGGAGTATCGACGGCGATCGATCGGCGGTGCTAGCTCTCTCGATAGGTAGGAGGTCGTTGTCGATCCGTGACGTCAGCCGAGGATTTCTGTTGTACTTGTTGCGGGCGGGACTTTGTACCCCGCCGACTCTCCGCGACTCGACTCGCGGGCGAATCCTTGACTCCCGACGCGCGCTCTCCTTGAGACCGTCCGTCGCTCCCGGTTTCCCTCCTTCTTTCTCTCCCCCTCCCCCCCCCCTCTGCCCTCTTTGATTCTTTCCGCGCCCGCGACGTCCCGTTCTTCCGGGGCGCCGCGTCCGCGTACACGGCACGGCCTTGCGAGGCCTCGCGTCAGCGGCGAGTACGCGCGATAAATAATTATCGTCGAGTTAGACGGTCGCCGATATCGAGCCGGAGATACCTCGGCGCCGTGGCGGAGAAGATATTGATGTTTGCGCCGAAGAGCGAGTCCCGCGCGCGCGAGCAATTACGCGCCGCGACAGTCCCCCCGACTTTTCCAAGCGCGCGGGGGTCTTGGCGAGCTCCCGCCGGGGGAGGGGGCTCGCGCCCGCGTGTGTAATTGCTCGGCCGCAAACCTGGAACGCGCGCAAAAGGAAAGAGGCTCCGCGCGGTGCGCGAGAGCGTAAAGTCACAAAGGGCCCGCGTAGCAAAAATCGTACGTTTTCCGAACGATAGCGGGAGAAAAAGGAAACGTGGTCAAAGGCCGGCGATTAAGAGTAATAAAAGCGCGAATGATGACGCGAGTAACGAGCCCCTCGAAAGGCTCGCGCACGAAAGATCGCGCGCTTATCGTGAATTCCACGTAATCCATCGCTCCCGTCCGCAATTGGGGCGATCGTCGGGGCCGTAAAGTTTACGCGTGAAGCCGTTTCGCGAAACCATTAGGAGCGAGAGGTCGGAAGTGCTTCTCTCTTTAAAGCCGCGCGCTCCGATTGTTGCAGATTAACGGGGGCGGAGGGGGAGATCGGAGGGAAAAGTTAACTCGCGCGAGCCGAGAGAGAAGCCGACGCAAACATGGACACTGGATCTACACAGGGTAAAAAGCAAATCCGCGTCGGATTTTACGATATCGAGGGAACGATCGGCAAGGGCAACTTCGCCGTCGTCAAGCTGGCCAGGCATCGGATCACGAAAACGGAGGTACGCGCGCGCTTCCCGATAAGCGACGTTATCTGTATACTTTTAATGAAAACGAGAGAGAGCAATTGTCATCACTGACGCACTTTCCTCCAGGTGGCTATCAAGATAATCGACAAGACCCAATTAGATCCGACTAATCTGGAGAAAGTTTATAGAGAGGTCGAAATTATGAAGCAGCTGGAGCATCCGCATATCGTCAAATTATATCAAGTTATGGAGACGAAGAATATGATTTACATGGTAAGGAAAACGAAATTGTTGCGGTCATCCCCCTCCTCTCTCTCTCTCTCTCTCTCTCTCTCTCTCTTTCTCTCTCGCCGCTTTAAATTTTCTCTCTTGTGAAATCCACTGAATTGATCGTCGATTAAACTGGGCAAAGCGTCCATCCATAGGCGCGAAGCTGTGCGGCCGAGAAAAGAAAAGTGGAAAATCCGAGACCTCAATCGGTCTCGCTTGATGATAACTTGTGTTTCCCAAACTTCAATTTTCCCTCGACGCAACTGGCACTGTTTTATTAATCTTAAATAACGTACAACGTTTCGACCGTACGGACTGCGGTCCTCTTCAAGCACAAATCTGTGAAGTAATACCAATACATCAATGTGACTATAAAACAATAGAATATACACTTCCAAAGAAAACTTACAATAAATATATCCAGTATACCGTATTAGATTGATTTCAGTGTGTCTCAGTATATATTACAGTACAAAACGTTGAGCAACTTGAACTCCATTACAATAGTCTGCGGGGAACAAATTTATGTATTCAACAATTATAGAGTCATTAATGACAATAGACAGTAAAAACTTACAAACTAAATGTCCAATCGATTTAATATGGGCGGTATTAGTCAATCAATTTACGCAACGATTATAAAGATCCCGAGTGTATAAGTGTGAAACGTGTTGGCAGGCACGTCTACCTATGGCAGGGGTGTCCGTTGAACTGAAGCCGAGGATAAACCAGTGAAAACAATGCACGTTATTATAAAAGTCATGAGTATTTGTATCTTGTTAAATTATTGCATGTATCATTTAAATTGTCACTTATTGTAGGTTGATAGTTTTCTTGATCTAATACATTTCAGCTATTTCTCTTTTTCTTATGTGTTTTCCTTTGTGCACGATTATCGGTTCGTCCCACTGAAAGTCGAAACGTATATTATTTAAGATTAATAAAATAATGCCAGTTGCGTCGAGGGGAAATTGAAGTTTTGGTTACTTTATTACTGGCGAGCGAAAGTATTAAGTTTGTCATAACTTATGGGGCGAAGATTCGCCCCAAATGTTCCAAAAATTTACTTAAATAGTAACATTTACTAATTAAGTACTATATTTACTAATTATGTAATTATATATTAATTATTAATTATTTATTAATTATTAATTATATATTTACTAATTATGTACTATACGAGAAATGTAATTTAATCTAAATTGCACCTAATACTATATACATATATACAAAACGTAGTAAATTTCAAAATTCAAAAAATCATTTTTAAAAACACAGAGTTAAATGTATCTATAATTTTATACATTACATCCTGCCTTTTATAACCAATTGTGTGTATTTTTAAATACGAGAAACAGCTTATGTCTATCTCCATCTAGTATGAGAATTGATATATAACAGAGATATACATACATATGTATATATATATTCTGTTATTGTAACAGAGAATACATGGATTCTCTCTGCCGCTGCCCCTTTCTCCTTGTTCGAAAGACATTTGAGACACGTCGCTGTTGCAGGTGTGCGAGTACGCGAGCAAAGGTGAGATATTCGACTACATCGCGCGATACGGAAGAATGGGAGAGCCCAGGGCACGCGCGACATTCGCTCAGATCCTCTCCGCGGTCGAGTACTGCCATGTGACGGGTGTGGCGCATCGTGATCTGAAAGCGGAGAACCTGCTCCTCGACGCCCAGATGAACGTGAAAATCGCCGACTTCGGCTTCAGCAACAGATTCGCCCCGGGGGAGCGATTGAGCACGTGGTGCGGCAGCCCACCCTACGCCGCTCCCGAGGTCTTTCGCGGAAAGCATTACGCCGGGCCGGAGATCGACGTGTGGGTGAGTCTCCCGTGACGCGTTGAGTCTCGTGAAAATCGACACGGTAAAATGAGTTTGACATGGATGAATCTGCACACCCGATACAAATATTTGCCTCTCCGCAGAGCCTGGGCGTCGTGTTGTACGTGCTGGTGTGCGGAGCGCTGCCCTTCGACGGATCAACTCTCCAGTCGTTAAGAGATCGTGTGCTAAGCGGCAGATTTAGGATTCCTTACTTTATGAGCACAGGTGATTGCACAGGCGTGCATTGCGCACGTTTGCGACATACACGTTGCGCTACGTCGTAATTCGTGTTGCAGATTGCGAGAGCCTAATACGCAAGATGCTGGTGCTGGAGCCTTCCAAACGATACACCATTCCACAAATCAAGAGGCACCGTTGGATGGCGGGGACAGCAGATAGCATTTGTTCGGTGATCGTAACGCGGCCGTCGTCGTCCATTCAGGAACCAAATGAACAGATACTTCGACTCATGCACAGTTTAGGAATAGACATTAGCCGCACCAGAGAGGTAAGGAAGCATTTTCGTTGCTCTCTCATCTCAAACGAAATCGGGGAAATAAACGACGGCATTGTCTAGCGAATCGGAAAGACAAAGGGAGATTTTCACAAGCTACACACATATTATTTCGATAGATTTTCTATTGCGCTATGTAAAGCCGAATGTTATCTTTTAACAGTCCTTGCGAAATAGCAGCTACGACCATCACGCTGCTATTTATTTCTTACTGCTGGAAAGGTTGAAGCAACATCGTGTCAACAGCACCGTTAACAATGCCTGCTGGTCCTCAGTTGCAAGAACAAAAGAAGATAAATTTAAATCAAGGTAGACGCGCACTGCTACAAGTATCGTCGCGTTTATTTTCTTTTAAGGATCTGATTTCAAGTACCAATTTCACTTTAGTTCTTTAGTAACTTCCAATCCTACCAGTCGGAGAAACGGCGCAAGAACAATGCCTTAATGCACTGAATTTTTATTTACAGCGATAGCTTAGTGGGACGTTGAACTTTATTGATGGGTGGCACACATATTGGAGATTTTGTCAGGGCAGGTTGGATTGGAAGCACATTGCTGTCGCTTTATTTTTGGTAACTCCTCATTTCATTTTCTTATTTCTTTCTTTACCCTGAATCCCGAGTTTTCATCATAATTTTAGTTTGCTTTCCTTTATTACGAGCACATTATTATTTTTTAAATGTTTCTATCGTTGATGATTTCGTAACTTTCGTATTGATCGTCGATTGACAAAATCTAACACCCTGCAAATATACTTTTATACTCGATATTTATTTTACGTTACTAATAACAAGTACTCGAACAAAGCAATATGAAATTCATATAAGTGAGGGGACACGAGATTAATTTACGGTGTAACTCTCCTGAAACGGCGTCTTGTACAATTTAACGACAGAGACTAATGCTAAAAGATGAAATGATGAGAATACTTGATTAATACTTTTTGAATCCACCGCTGCATAGAGCGTCTGCTGGCAGTCATCGCAGAAAAGCTAATAGCAGAATAAACGTTAATTTCGAATATTAACGGGACAAAAATCCCTCCCTTGTTCCAGAGCGAGAGAGGACGGCAGCAGAGGGGGAAAGAGATTCAGCTCGACGAGTTCTTCGACCGATGAAGGTTGTTGCAGCGCGGAGGGTGATTTAGAAGAGGGCCCGAGCGGTGACGAGTTGCGCGAGGCGCAGATCAAACTCGAGGAGCATAGATTAGGCCTAGATCACGATATCAGTCAACGAATTGACAGTCAGATAATCAATCGAAGATTAAGTGATTATCAACATCATTTTGATAACCCGCTTATGGATCCTACTGATCCACCCAGTCGAACGACTTTGTTCATGGCGGGCGGCAGCGGTAGCTCGTCCTCGGAACTCTTCGAGTCTAGCTTCGATTCTGGCTGCCCGCCAGATTATACAGGGACGAACTGTTTCACGAGCAGCTTACCGTCTTGCACGCCACCGCCACCCAAGAGTCCATCCCCTATCACTGGTCGAATATCCCGAGTCTCTCAGGGACGAAGAGCATCCGACGGTGGACCTAGATTGCTATTCTGTCAGCAAGGAGTCAGCGATCGACCATCCAAGCAGAGGAGCATTCAAGGTGCGTCACGCCTGTTTGCTTGTTTGCTCGGCAACGCTCGTAACTCAACGATTTACGCTAACGCGGTAATTTTATCGCTTTCAGATTCGGGGAAAGCTCGAGGCCACCTGGATCTAGTCCACCTTAGACCACCGTCCACACCGCCCGATAATCAACAGCAATTTAAGATACGCGGCGACTCGGGCACGCAGCTACAGCTTCTAGTGCAGCAACGTATGCTGCAACAAAAGCGCAACTTGTACCACCGGCACAGGGGCGGCGGTAGTCCGACCCCGATCCCAGTTTCCACCAGCGGCAGCACCAGTAGACGTGCCGATCACGTACCGAGGCAAGACAGCTACAAGCTGGCGCAACGTACACAGATATTGCCGCCTCTCTCTCAGGGACACGTAGACAGAGACTTCGACAGAGACAGAAAACGAGACGAGGAGAGGTGGAAGAGTCTACCGTCCCGCTTGGCAGCGGATTGCCAGTTGGCGGAGAGGTCGCTAATATGGAGCCAGCAGGTAAATTCATAAAAAAAGTTACTGATGTAAAAATAGATAGATACGATTGAGGCGACGTGTACAGCCGTTGGAGCGCTTTTTACAATTGGACTGTGATTTTGACACTCTCTATTCGAAGGAAGTAAATTAATCGAACACTGTAGACAAAAAATGACACTGTAGACAATGAAAAACTGGATAAAACCCTTGTACATAGTTCACTCAATATAGAAGATAAGATATTTCTTTTCTTTTTTTTCACTGAGAGTGTCCCGGCATTATTGTAAATGCTTTCCACATTTGCAATAGTGAGCTAATGTACATAATGTTATTTAGTACCTACAATGTTATTTAGTACCTGCGATTTATTAGCACAATTATTTATGTTAAATGCAAATAAATGATTATTTTTCTTTAATTTGGCAGTTACCTTTTATTCTGATTTGCCTTACTGCATGAACCATCCTTGATATAAAACTGTCATCTTGTTAGTAACTCAATCTTATATGCACTTCAAACAGGAAACTCTCTAATATGGAAAAATCATATGTGTTGTGTATAATTGTACAGTTTTCAGATTCAATTTTTCTATGAAAAGGCAAATATCATGTCCTGAGAGAAAAATGCAAAATTTTTTATACCTCGATATATTCACATGTCAATGAGGCAATCGCATATATCTTTTTGTATATAAATTTACACGTATTTTTATATGATATGCATATAAAATGTTTCATTGCAAAACATTGAAGTGTATCTACATCCCACAATGCTTCCATATCATTTTGCTTGGCACATATTTTCTCCGAGTACATGCATATAGATACAAAAATATGAAAAAGAAACGAATCATTCATGCCGGATATCAAATAACCGATACAATGTGAAACATTAGGTGGGTCTTAGTGGAGGTGCGTCTTACTTGCCACCTGGCAGTGTAGGTGGTTTCTTGTGGCCCGCCACCAGCAATCCACATTCAACCATCTTCGAGAATGTAGGGGATCCAATGGAATAAATTTCTGCCCTGTCGTTATATTAGTAATTGCCTCGAGATCTTGCGTATGAAAAGCCAGCTGAATCATTATATCAACTCTTTCAGCAGTGTTCCCTCCCTAGTCTTTCCACGTTGACTTTTATTAACATAGTTGCATATCATTTTGCATCTGATAGAGAAACGCTAAGATTTACGAAGAATTTAATAATGTTCACTCATCTATAATAATAATACTAATAATAATAATATACATATAATATATCTTTACATACTCAAGATCTCCGACTAGATGTATGGTACATGTTACTGAATGCCAAAGATTTACAATTTTGTACTCCCATTGGTCTGAAACGTCGGTACTCGAGGATTCGATTGAAGCGCCAAAAGCGTGCAATATTCCACATTAAATCATTCGCTAATGTGCTACTTGACAAATTGTGTATCACACCTATCGCTATTGTACCGCATGAGTACGCACAGACTACGTGTACGACTTGAAAGAAAAAGTTCTCATGCAGAGGAATCTTTATCATACAGTAACACGTGTACCTGCCTTATTGAAACGACTGATTCTACCAGTCAAATATCCAATTATATCATAGACTGATAATTAACAAGCTGAACACCAACCGAGTTTAATTGAAGAGCAAGTGGCACGGAACTCGCTTCGCAAACTCCGCTACCGAGAGTATAACGAGACGGTAGGGAAGAGGCAGGGAGGGAGAGAGAAAGAGAACTGCGCGATTTTTAAGTATTGTTAACGAGGTTTTCAATTGACGAATTCACGTAGACTTAGTAAAGCTTGGAGCTCGTTCATTTTCGCAACTGCTCATGTGTATAATAAAACGACTAACGGAATATTACGAATTTACGCGATATAAATCCTTCGAGGATATTCCGTACTGCCAACGAGTGAGAGAGAAATGCGAGTGCTCAAGTAAACGAGATATAATAAATATGTTATAGAATAAGGCATATAAGGGCGAAACCAAGCGCCGGCGATAAAGGAATAACAGCGACTGAAATAGGATTAAAGTTCTCTCGGTGGCGGGGCGCGGGTACTGCGTCACTTTCGCTCTTCCGTTAATTTAATCGAAGAGTGGAAATACGACACGGGTTGAAAAGAACCTTTCGTTACGTTTTCTTAATGAACGTTCCATTGTACAAAATTAGAGATGTTTTCCTCTTCCACTCTTCACGATGGTGAACTATAGAAAATAGAGAAAATAATAACGAAAAACAATAATATTAGCGGTAAAATAGTAGCTAATGTGTCAGAAGTGCTGCATTCTGTAAAGATGTTAAAAATAAATCGTTTGCGCAATCGTTTCCTACATAAGCATAAGTTAACTGCATTTTGTATATGTTATCTCTTTGTAGAAATATTTATAGCCACTGTATTAACAGCCGCACTACTTTTATACAAGTATCTTTCATGAGTCATTCCACCGTTGTCCTCTAGAGGTGACTTTTCTTTTCCTAAACCGGATATTTTCTATTTCGACAGCTCTGTTTTACGAGCTTCTTGCGTAATTCTAATTAATTAGGAGAACATTGACGAGAAACAATAATGATTACGAAACCGTTTGTACGTTTGATATGAATACAGCACTTTAAAAACAATATACACATATATATATTATTAGAACCTAGCGAACTAGTCAGTAGCAAGCAATACCGGCCGCGCACAACTGACAACGACTTTACTATTCAAATTTTTCGCCATTTTTTACCCGACAGGAAACAATCAAACTTCGCTCAAAAGTCTTTTGATAAGTGAGAACATAACTGTTAATAAGTTTAGCCTAATCGCAAACGAAATCCACTATCTGCAAACGGACATCGACGCAAGGTTATCTCCATGAATCTCAGGAATTGAAAATCAATTTCGGCATTGTTGTTGCGAATTCTTATATGCCCGTCGTTTCCGGACTCATGTAACTCCTTGGACCGCGTAAAAATAGATAATCCCGTACTTAGGGTTTGGCAGCAATAAATTGATTTCACCTGTCTATTAAAACGCAGCCGCACACGACTCCGACGATCAAGATTCTGCGACAATTACATGTGATACTACTTGTTTTATATGTAAGCCATCGTCCTAGAATACGTAATCTGTTTAATGATAAAGACTACAATATCCGTTTTGCGGAAGTAATTATTTGCTATCAACCACTGACTGCCATACAGACAATTTGCCGTAAAGGGAAAAAATAAGAGGAAGTAAAGAAAGAAACCGACCTAAGGGAGAAAGAGAGAGGGTCGCTTATACACGCAACTATATACAATGTAACAAGTTTTCGTTCGTCATGCTCTCTTAGCAAAGTGCGCACATACTATCACTTCAACAGTCATATACGATAGTAAGTAGTTACTTTTTGTAAATTGCAAAATTGTCGACATATGTATACATGCGAGTTCGAAATAAAACATATGCAGATTGAGAATCGAGACTGGTGTGTCACGGGCATCCGGCGGGAGTCCCCCTTTATTTTCGACGCGGTACATATTCACAGGGGAAACTTGTATTTACATTAGCGTTGCAGACTGAGGCGTCCAGCGGGAAACTTACAACGGTTTGCGCGCATTGAAAAGGTCGCAGCCCGTTTTCCCGGCCTGATCCTTGGCCTCCTGCGTCGTGAGCTTCTCGTACTCGCTAGGCTCCAACGGCTGCCCGTTCTCGTCCAGCTGGCCGTTCGCAAAGTCCTCCTGTATCTTCTCGGCGTACACTGCGTCGAACAGATCTTGGGCGGTGAATTCCGGGTTCTCGATCCCTTCCACTCTATACGACACGTACGGTTTCAGGGTGAAGCCTTCCAACGAGGGTACAATCAACTCGGGCACCATCTCCGGTACGTGAATCCACCTATCGCCAACTTTGTAGCCGGTGTCTCTTATGCCCCTCTCTGTAATTTATTACAGCGATTCAGTCGTCAACACGTGTTGTACGACATATCCTTGACTTGTGCCTTACATGTATTTAGCGTGTTCTTTATGTCTGAACTGGCTGCACTAGTTCCGAGTTTATCTCTTTCCCTCCACATCAGAAGGAGAAAGCTCTAGTGCAGCCAATTCACCTATAAAGAACAGACCCATTGTTAAGCCACCTGACTGCAGAGAATTAGCAGCCAAGTCTTACTCCTCTATGCAACGAAATTGGACGTTTACTCCTGAGGCTAAACTGCTCCAAAACGTGTCGAAGGCAACGACTTACTGTCTACTGGTCTCATGATTCTCTACGTAACAAAACTGGACCACGTTTACTCGCGAGGCCAAACTGCTCCAAAACGTGTCGAAGGCAACGACTTACTGTCTA